AGGGTGCCATGACCAAGGCCGTTCTTGACCTGTCTGTGTTAAATGAAACAGCTTGAACGGCTTTTGCCTTTTGCTACCAGCCAGCACTGCCTGCAGTAAGTTCTCGCTCTTTGACGGGATCCTTCCTGCTCATCCAGGGTTGGGCTGCAGCGCTGGGCACGCGCATCCCGCCAGCGCTGCCTGCAGCGCCAGTGACACCCGCAGCCGCTCACTGCACGCCCACGGCTTGCCTTCCCTCTCCCCTGCTGACGGACACGTCCGGCTTGTTTTCCACCAGTGCCTTTTCCAAGACCTACTCCCTGATCCGCAGGCTCCGGTGTCCTCCCTCCTGCAGGCGTGTGGCCTCGCCGTTAGCCGTGCCGGGTGACCCACTGGCCACAGGGCCCCACTCCAGGCCGACTCTGCTCGCTGCGGTGTCTGTGGTCACGTTGCTCTCAGACAGCACTGTTTCCAGCACACCAAGCCCCCTGTCCCCAGCATTGCCGATGCCCAGGCTTCCCAGCCAGCAGGTTACCCTGCTCCTTTCTCCACGGGCATGCGCCAGCCTTGTGCTTCAAGGCAGCTGAGTAAGGGAGCATGGGCTTCTTCGGAGCCCTCGCGAGGGAAAGCACGCAGCAACCCAGCAGGAACTCCACTGGTCATAGACACCACGCGGAAACCCGCGGGAACACCTGACTGAAGGCAGCTGTAACGAGAACAGCAGCAACCGTGTGAGAGCAGGATATTCCCAGCACTTGCTACTGTGCCTTCACTAAGCAGGGATTTGATATGCTTCTTATTTTGCTCTGGTTTCATCTTGTTTGGAGAAATCCTTCTGTTGCCTCCTCTGAACATGGGACGCGTTGTAGGTCCTCCTCTATAGGGTTTTCCTTCCTTTTCCCAAGACTTGCTCTCTCCTGGCCCAAACCGTTGCTCTGCTTGGTCTTGGATGTGCCAGGAAACAGGCTGGGAGATGCTGCAAGAGCAACCTCAAGATCTGAGGGGAGACCCAGGGCTCCCCACTGCCCGACTGAATGTGCTCAGGCTGGGAAGGAGGAGGCTTTTCAGAGCACTTGGCATGGAGATGAGGCTGTTGACTCTCTGCTCAGCTGGGTTTGCCTTCCCTTTGGACATGAGAAGGCAGGAGCCCCCCAGGCAATGCTGTCTTTTCTTGCAGCCACCTAGAGGACCCTCCAGTCCATGACATCCCCAAATGCCTTTGAAGGGCACGTGGGACATCAGTGCAGGGACAGAGTGAGGCAGCAGAGTCCCCGTCCCCTACACGCCTTCTACGTGGCTCTTCCTTTGCCAAGGTGGATCAGGATATCACTGAGCTTGGCCCTGGGACCGGTGCCTATCTCGGTGAGCGGAGCCACCCTGCTTGGTGCTGGAGGAGGTGGCATCGCCTGCTCTCCCCCAAATCCCAGGCAGGGGGAGACTGGGATCAGGGCAGCGCAGGGAGCCCTGTCTGGCCACGGTCCTCAGCATTTGCACCAGCGTGAGGCTGTGGGGACAGGACGGGTAGCGCTCTGTAGGGGTCTGGCATATGCCTTTCTGTCGCATGTTTAGGTTCATGGTGGGGAGCCAAGAAATCTCTTAACTAAATAAACAGATCTCTCGTCCCAGATGGCATCTGTTTATATGCCAGGTACAAACAGTTTCCACAGCTGCTGCGCTCAGAGCGGCCAGTTCTTTCCACAAGAAACAGTCCCACAGGGCCAGCAGTGCCTCACGGTGGGAAGGCAGATCTGCACGTTGCCCCAGCATGGACGCTACCAGGGCAGGGATGAGTCTGGGCTAGGGAAGACACTTTGGCCAGGGCGTCGCTGCGGGGTCCCGGCTAGACCCGTGTGGAGGAGGAGGCCTGCCTTGGCTGCAGAACAGGGTCTCTGGACTCTGATTTGGGGTTTTCTCTGGTGTCAAGGTGCTGCGTGGAAGCCACAGGTTGAAGCTCTGGGAAGGTCCAGAGAGCTCACGCATGGGTCACATCTGCATCTCCCAAGAACATTTTTCTTCTTTTCCCTGAAGTCGTGAAGCCCCCAGTCAAAGACAGCGTTTGCTCTGCCACTCCCTCACCTTGGTGCTTCCTTCTCCTGCAGCCAGCATTGCTGTCGGCTCTGCATTCAAGCTGAGGACATCCAGATTAACCCGCGTAGCAGTAAATCTGGCCCTGACCTAACACACAGCTCTGCAGCCAGGCTGCCAGCTGACGGTGTCACAACACATTGCCCTCTGCTTATCTCGGGACAGAAAACCACGGCCCTCTGCGGCTGCTCTGCCCCTCTGCCAGAGCCAGCAGGCATGCAGAGCCGAGCCGCGCTGCCAAAGCCAGGCACCAAGGAAGAGCAGGGCCAGCCACGCGTGGCAGGAGCTGTGTGCCCCCCGGCCACGCAGCGGTGAGAAGAAGGTTTAAACTACCAAGACCACATGCAGACTTCCCATATGGACCCCCCCCCGACCCACACAAGCTTGGTCCCGATGGCAAGGATTGATCTGTCTTAATTTAGCTGTTCCTAACATTGATTCATCTCTGTGAGTGGGAGTGCAGGTGTCTTATATTTAATGTTAAAGGAGATGAATCCTGCCCCCGTGCCCAGTTCTTAGTGCACAGTGCAAAGTCGGGGTCCCGTGCCTGCGTCTCCTGAGGCACACAAGGAAGCTAAGGGAAATCCTGTGCCGTAAAAAAAACCAGCAGGCTGGAAAGCTGCTTACACTGAGCTGCAATCAAAGGCCTTGGTGGGACATGAGGCACAATGTGTCAGAAGGATGCTAACGGGACTCTAGCCACCGTGCTGGCCCTGGGTGAAGGCTGCCACGAGACAGTTGCAGACTCTCCATCACTGCATCCAGGAGCTGCTGGTGCTGGTTGCGGTCTGTGGCAATGTGCAGGAGCCCACTGGAGTAGTAACAGAGGCTGCACCAAGAATGAGGTTCAGTTGCTTGGCAAAGGTACAAAAAATCATCTAACGACAACTCAAGAAAAGGGGATTTGACTGACGGGAGACAAATGACCAAATAGCCCTTAAACATGAAGGGAAAGAAGAAAATCCTTAGCTGGGAGAGGCAGTCCGTAAGGAAATAGTCATCAAGCCTCAGGGTTTTCAGCCCTCTGCATGAAGGGAGGACACAGTCACTGCCTGAAGGTCAGAGTCAGAGAGCTGAAAATGCAGACCGAGTTCCTCTTGCATTTCAAAATCCAGCAAACACAACAGCAGAATCATAGCAAGCATAAAATGCAAAGGCAAAATTTGCATTTCAAGAATGAATAGACAAAGATGCAGACAAAACGAAAGCACTGATGTTTGCCAGCCCACAAAGGAATGAGTGGGTGTCTTGGCCAGCCTGGAGTCAAAAGAAGAAAGTCAGGAGGTCCAGGGCATTGCTGCATGACCTCTTTGCATCAGCTGCTTGGCGCAGAGAGCTGGGGAGATCCCAAGTGCACATATGCAGGGGAAGGGGCTGCCAGCTGCAGTAGCGCTGCCTTACACAACACATGGTCCTTTGCATCCTCCCTGCAGGGACCAGATCCACATCCCTCCCCAAGACTGCCCCAATTAAGCTCTTCCTTCCTATGCTGCCGCTGGAGAACAAAACACGAGAAGAGGATGTGATGGGTAAACATCATGTATTAAAAAGCAATAAACTCCCTGTCCCAGTTTCCCTGGTTCTCTACAGGGAGCTGTGAGCTCAACATGCAAACTCACTTTAAAAGGAGCCCTGTTTCAGAGAGCCTGGAGTTGGGTGAGACCCCTGGATCAGCGCGTGACCTGTGTCACCAGCTGTGGATGCTCTCCTGCTTGCACACATGCCAAGGCCAACGCGAGGAGCGCTCCAGGCTCCAGACCAGGCATAGCTGCAGGGGATCTGGCTGGAAGTCGTGTAGAAAATGCTAGCAAAGCATCTGGGGATCGTGGACAATGGGTGTTAGATCCACCTCTGGTTAAAAAGATGATTAAAAAGAGGATAAACTAGGAGGTATGATGGGAAGGGGTGGAACAGTGCAGTCTTTAAAGGAAGATGCATTCTGCAGTTTGTAAGGTTATTGTCCGTTCAATGGGGACGAAGGAGGGCATCACCGAGACCTCTGGAGCCTTTTGGGAAGGGCCTGGAGACAGAAGAGCAGAGAGGCCTTGGAGAGCTGCAGGGGGACCTCAGCACCCCGTGTCCTGCAGCCTCTGTCTCCATTTGGGGCGCTCGGACACTGAGCTCTCCCTGGACCTGAGGACCTCAGTTGGGTTAAACTTCCCTCTTCTAAAGCACAGCTGCAAAGCAGCAGTGTGTGAATGCTCAGCATTAAATCACTCAGCTGGGATAGACAAGACCCTGGCCCATATCTGGGGCTAAATCATTATGATTCGGGTCAGGGGTGCTTATCTCCCTGAACAGTCCTGACCACGAGACTGCAGGTCTTCTCCCCCTGCCCCAGCACAGACCCAGTGTTAACTGTCCTCGTGGAGTGAGGATGGACAGAACCATGTCCCTGCCTCTCATTGCTGCAAGAGCCTAGATCAGAGCAGAGACTCTCCCTGTTGCCTCCCGCGGCACCCTGTCTGATGCTCTCATCAGGAGGTTTCTGTCAAATAAATCACCTGTGCTTCCTCTCACCCGTTTCTCATCCTGAGTGCTGCTGGGGCTAGAGAACAATCTCTGCTTTCTCCATCTCCCATCTCCTCCCAGAGTCTCCCCTCCACCCAACCCTTCAATGGCCTCATAGCAAAGAGGACAGTGTCCACTGTGTTTCAGGGCAGCTCATCCCTTGTAGGAATAGTCGTAAGACCTTCCTGAGGCCGGATTGTCCTGCATCCTCCCATGACCGGCCATGCACCTTCCCCAGCTGCAGTGCTGCCTGCAGGGGCCCAGGACCAGGGCCAGGGGACGCAGACCCCATTGCATGTGGCAGTTCATGTGTTCCTGCCACGTGCAAGAGAGGTGCTGAGTTTGTAACAATGGGCCTGGGGTGGCAGGTCTGGAGGTCAGAGGGAATTTGCCTCTGTAACGCCTTGGTGTTCTTCTGTTGTTAGGAAAGCAGATCAACAGAGAAGAAGAAGGAAGCGAAGAATGGAGAAGAAAAGGGAAAGGAAGCTCCTTCCAAAGACCTGGCCCAGAAACGAAATACAGAAGCGGGGAAAGACTCTAAAAAGGAAGAAAGTGTTAAGAAAACAGACCCAAAAGTTAAAGCTGAGCCTGAGAGAAAACCCAAAGAGGAGAAAGCCATCAATGACAAAGTCAAGGCTATGGAGAAAAAACTGATGGGGAAGGATAAAAAGGAGGAAGAGAAGGGTTCAGTGTTAAAGAAGGATGCAGAGAAGGATAAAAAGGAAGAAGAGAAGGGTTCAGCATTGAAGAAGGACACAGGGAAGGACAAAAAGGAAGAGAAGGGTTCAGCATTAAAGAAGGACACAGGGAAGGACAAAAAGGAGGAAGAGAAGGGTTCAGCATTGAAGAAGGACACGGGGAAGGACAAGAAGGAAGAGAAAGGTTCAGCATTAAAGAAGGATGCAGGAAAGGATAAAAAGGAAGACGAGAAGAGTTTGGGATCAAAGAAAGAGGTAGGAAAAGATACAAAAGGAGAAGATAAGAAAGAAAAGGATAGAAAAGAAGAAAAGAATTCAGCTTTGAAGAAATCGAAGGCTGATGAAAAGGGTAAATCCCAGCCAGAGCCAGAAAAGGCAGGAGAGGAGAAAGCCGCTTCAGAACAGGAAGCCGAAACGACCACGGAGGCTGAGAGCAGCACCTCCAAGACCACCAGCAGCCCCCCAGAACAGACCAAGGATGACGAGGCCTCCAGCATTTTCGATGAGCTTATTGAGAAAGTGAAGAACAACGATGCTGAGGTCACAGAAGTGAATGTGAACAACTCGGACTGCATCAACAACGAGACCCTGGTGCGCTTCACTGAGGCCCTGGAGTTCAACACCGTGGTCAAAGTGTTTGCGCTGGCCAACACCCGTGCTGATGACCACGTGGCCTTTGCCATCGCCATCATGCTGAAGGCCAACAAGGTGCTGACGAGCATCAACCTGGACTCGAACCACATCACCGGCAAGGGCATCCTGGCCATTTTCCGGGCACTGCTGCAGAACAACACGCTGACGGAGCTGCGTTTCCACAACCAGCGGCACATCTGCGGGGGGAAGACGGAGATGGAGATTGCCAAACTCTTGAAGGAAAACACTACCCTCCTGAAATTGGGCTACCATTTTGAGCTGGCTGGGCCTCGCATGACAGTCACCAACCTGCTAAGCCGAAATATGGACAAACAGAGGCAGAAACGCCTCCAGGAGCAGAAACTGGCACAGGAACGTGCAGAGAAGAAAGACCTCCTGGAGGTGCCCAAGCCCGGAGCCCTGCCAAAGGGATCCCCCAAGCCTTCCCCGCAGCCATCCCCCAAGTCTTCCCCCAAAAACACTCCGAAGAAAGGGGGGGCGCCCGCTGCGCCACCTCCACCCCCTCCTCCGCTCGCCCCGCCGCTGATCACTGAGAACCTGAGGAACTCGCTATCACCGGCCACGCAGAGAAAGATGGCAGATCGGGCACTGCCAGCCCAGGAGAAGAACTCGCGGGATCAGCTCCTGGCAGCCATCCGCTCCAGCAACCTCAAACAGCTCAAGAAGGTAAGTACAGGGACACAGCGGGGACATCTCTGGGCAGCACCCATGAGGTTAGCGTGGAGGCTGAGATTTGAGGTCACTTCCGTTCTCACCTGGGTGCTGCAGAGGCGAGGGCTGTCCTCTTGTGCAGGGTACAGAGCATGGGGTCTGCGTTCCCAGTCCCTTGGAGGAGCACAGGATAGGCAGATCCATCCCTTTGCAGAGCACGCTGGGTGGGCAGATCTGCCTTAGTCCAGCAGCCAGAATTGGGTCCAGGGTTTGGGACACAAGCAAGAAAACGTTTTTAACCTCTAACCCTGGTGGACGGAGAGCCAGTACCTTCCCGTGGTACCTTCCCCTGGGGTGCAAGAGGCAATGGGGGGGGAGGGATGCCCCACGGTGGCTGGAAGGGCTGCGTCTCTCCCAACCCCTTTCATCGCTCCCTGCTCTGCCCGGTAACGGGGTATTTCCTCCGGCAGGTGGAGGTACCAAAGCTGCTGCAGTAGGGAGCGGGATGGCTCTGCCACATGCAGCCCAGTGTGGCAGACCCCAGGACACTCGCCTTTCTCGTGACCGTTTCCATGACAAGCCCTTTGGGACCCTGCAGTGACTGATGCCGAGGAGCAGTGATCTCTCTGGGACTGACGGAGGAGGGACCGGGCCCGAGGAGGGCCAGCACGGTCATTTGATGCAGTGTGTGAGGAAGACGTTGTATTTATTATTTTTACATTTGTGAAGCCCTAAAGCTCTTTCTTTTGCCAGCACCATGCCCCGCTCCGTCCGGCCACCTGGAGATGCTGAGGCTAGAGGATGGGTCGCAAAATCTTGGGGATGGTGGGTCACTCCTGTTTCCGCCCAGAGCTCTCGGACGTCCAACGGAAGACACCGGCTCAGCTTTGCTAATGGCACCCTGTCACATCCGTGTCCACGCACGGGCCTCGGCCCCGTGTGGCTCTGTGTGTGGATAGCAGCAGGTGCACAGGGAAACCTCTGCCAAGAGGGAGCGAGCAGGGGACTGGGCTGAGCTCCCACCTCCGGCTCTGCAGCAGTGGGACAGGGGACAAGGTAGCCCAGGAGGATGACACATAGGCAGCTCCCTCCACCTCTCTGTATCAGCATCTCCAGGCCCCTGGGGGCTGGGGACCGCTAGACCATTGTCACTGCTGGCTTCCCACCTTGGCTTCCCACAGGGTCTCTGAAGGTCTCGGGGCTCTGGCACAGGCATCGAGGTTGCCAGGCCCCAGAGGTCGGGCTCGATGGCAGGAGGCGTTTGTTGCATGCGGTGGGGGTTAAGAGGAGCAGCCAGGAAGAGAGAGGTGATGATGGAGAGGGAGATGGAGCAGGAGATGGAGCCGAGCTGCGACAGCCTGGAGCAGAGAGGGCTCTGGGCGTCGCGGCCGGAGGGGCTGCAGCTGCGCGGGGCTGGTGGCGGCCTCCTCGCTTCCTTTCACCGCTCATGGTGCCTTTGGGAAGGTCAGAGCCCCGGGCTAGCCAGGCCATGTCCCCCCTCCCCAGCGCTGTCCTTACGCCCGGGGGTGGAGCAGCAGGGCTTGCTGCCACGTAGCTTACCACCAGCGAGCTTTGCTTCAGCGAAAGCCAAAGCCCCCGCAGCGTTTTAAGCAATCTCTTTAGAAAAAAGCAAAGCGGCCCCAGCCCGTCCCCTCCTGAGAGCTTTCGGAGTGCCAAGGCTATGATTTTTCACTCTGAAAAGACCATTAGTCGCAGAGAGGATTTTTAAGAGTTCAGACAGGCCAAATGTCACCTCTGGGGCGCTGCAGCCCACTCCATCCATTTGCGAAGTTTGGCTTTTGGGTCCAGTTTGGGCTTTTCTTTTCCCCCATCCTGTCCCACCACCTTCTGCCACCCTGACCCACCACCTTCTGCTAGAGGATGG